TTATAACACAGTTCTACACTGTCATGTCTGCTTTATCACACAGCTCTACGCGGTAATGACTGCTTTATTACGTAGCTCTACACTGTCATGACTGCTTTATCACACAGTTTTACACGGTAATGACTGCTTTAATACACAGCTCTACACTGTCATGACTAGTTTATAACACAGTTCTACACTGTCATGACTGCTTTATTACACAGCTCTAAACTGTGATGTCTGCTTTATTACACAGTTCTAAACTGTCATGACTGCTTTAATACACAGCTCTACACTGTCATGTCTGCTTTATTACATAGCTCTACACTGTCATGTCTGCTTTATTACACAGCTCTACACTGTAATGACTGCTTTATTACATAGCTCTACACTGTCATGCCTGCTTTATTACATAGCTTTACACGGTAATGACTGCTTTATTACACAGCTCTACACTGTCATGTCTGCTTTATTACACAGCTCTACACTGTCATGTCTGCTTTATTACACAGCTCTACACTGTCATGACTGCTTTATTACACAGCTCTACACTGTCATGACTGCTTTTTTACACAGCTCTACACTGTCATGTCTGCTTTATCACACAGCTCTACACTGTCATGACTGCTTTATTACACAGCTCTACACTGTGATGACTGCTTTATTACACAGCTCTACACTGTCATGACTGCTTTATCACACAGCTCTACACTGTCTCGACTGCTTTATTACACAGCTCTACACTGTCATGCCTGCTTTATTACACGGCTCTACACTGTCATGACTGCTTTAGCACACAGCTCTACACTGTCATGACTGCTTTATTACACAGCTCTACACTGTCATGACTGCTTAAATACACTGTTCTACACTGTCATGACTGCTCTATTACACAGTTCTACACTGTCATGACTGCTTTATTACATAGCTCTACAATGTCATGACCGCTTTATTACACAGCTCTACAATGTGATGACTGCTTTATTACACAGCTCTACACTGTCATGACTGCTTTATTACACGGCTCTACACTGTCATGACTGCTTTATTACACAGCTCTACGCTGTCATGACTGCTTTATTACACAGCTCTACACTGTAATGACTGCTTTATTACACAGCTCTACACTGTAATGACTGCTTTATTACACAGCTCTACACTGTCATGTCTGCTTTATTACACAGCTCTACACTGTCATGACTGCTTTATTACGTAGCTCTACACTGTCATGACTGCTTTATTACATAGCTCTACACTGTCATGTCTGCTTTATTACATAGCTCTACACTGTCATGACTGCTTTATTACACAGCTCTACACTGTCATGACTGCTTTATCACACAGCTCTACACTGTCATGACTGCTTTATTACATAGCTCTACACTGTCATGTCTGCTTTATTACACAGCTCTACACTGTAATGACTGCTTTATTACATAGCTCTACACTGTCATGACTGCTTTATTACACAGCTCTACACTGTCATGACCGCTTTATTACATAGCTCTATACTGTCATGACTGCTTTATTACATAGCTCTACACTGTAATGACTGCTTTATTACACAGCTCTACACTGTCATGACTGCTTTATTACATAGCTCTACACTGTCATGACCGCTTTATTACACAGCTCTACACTGTTATGACTGCTTTATTACACAGCTCTACAGTCATGACTGCTTTATTACACAGCTCTACAATGTCATGACCGCTTTATTACACAGCTCTACGCTGTAATGACTTCTTTATTACATAGCTCTATACTGTCATGACTGCTTTATTACACAGCTCTAAACTGTCATGACTGCTTTATTACATAGCTCTATACTGTCATGACTGCTTTATTACATAGCTCTATACTGTCATGACTGCTTTATTACATAGCTCTACACTGTCATGACTGCTTTATTACATAGCTCTACACTGTCATGGCCGCTTTATTACACAGCTCTACACTGTCATGTCTGCTTTATTACACAGCTCTACACTGTAATGACTGCTTTATTACATAGCTCTACACTGTCATGACTGCTTTATTACACAGCTCTAAACTGTCATGACCGCTTTATTACATAGCTCTATACTGTCATGACTGCTTTATTACATAGCTCTACACTGTAATGACTGCTTTATTACACAGCTCTACACTGTCATGACTGCTTTATTACATAGCTCTACACTGTCATGACCCCTTTATTACATAGCTCTATACTGTCATGACTGCTTTATTACATAGCTCTACACTGTAATGACTGCTTTATTACACAGCTCTACACTGTCATGACTGCTTTATTACACAGCTCTAAACTGTCATGACCGCTTTATTACATAGCTCTATACTGTCATGACTGCTTTATTACATAGCTCTATACTGTAATGACTGCTTTATTACACAGCTCTACACTGTAATGACTGCTTTATTACACAGCTCTACACTGTCATGTCTGCTTTATTACACAGCTCTATACTGTCATGACTGCTTTATTACATAGCTCTACACTGTAATGACTGCTTTATTACACAGCTCTACACTGTCATGTCTGCTTTATTACATAGCTCTACACTGTCATGACCGCTTTATTACACAGCTCTACACTGTCATGACTGCTTTATCACACAGCTCTACACTGTAATGACTGCTTTATTACATAGCTCTACACTGTCATGTCTGCTTTATTACACAGCTCTACAATGTCATGACTGCTTTATTACATAGCTCTACACTGTCATGACTGCTTTATTACACAGCTCTACACTGTAATGACTTCTTTATTACATAGCTCTATACTGTCATGACTGCTTTATTACATAGCTCTACACTGTAATGACTGCTTTATTACACAGCTCTACACTGTCATGACTGCTTTATTACATAGCTCTACACTGTCATGACCGCTTTATTACACAGCTCTACACTGTTATGACTGCTTTATTACACAGCTCTACAGTCATGACTGCTTTATTACACAGCTCTACAATGTCATGACCGCTTTATTACACAGCTCTACACTGTAATGACTTCTTTATTACATAGCTCTATACTGTCATGACTGCTTTATTACACAGCTCTAAACTGTCATGACTGCTTTATTACATAGCTCTATACTGTCATGACTGCTTTATTACATAGCTCTATACTGTCATGACTGCTTTATTACATAGCTCTACACTGTCATGACTGCTTTATTACATAGCTCTACACTGTCATGACCGCTTTATTACACAGCTCTACACTGTCATGTCTGCTTTATTACACAGCTCTACACTGTAATGACTGCTTTATTACATAGCTCTACACTGTCATGACTGCTTTATTACACAGCTCTAAACTGTCATGACCGCTTTATTACATAGCTCTATACTGTCATGACTGCTTTATTACATAGCTCTACACTGTAATGACTGCTTTATTACACAGCTCTACACTGTCATGACTGCTTTATTACATAGCTCTACACTGTCATGACCCCTTTATTACATAGCTCTATACTGTCATGACTGCTTTATTACATAGCTCTACACTGTAATGACTGCTTTATTACACAGCTCTACACTGTCATGACTGCTTTATTACACAGCTCTAAACTGTCATGACCGCTTTATTACATAGCTCTATACTGTCATGACTGCTTTATTACATAGCTCTATACTGTCATGACTGCTTTATTACATAGCTCTACACTGTCATGACTGCTTTATTACATAGCTCTAAACTGTCATGACCGCTTTATTACATAGCTCTATACTGTCATGACTGCTTTATTACATAGCTCTACACTGTAATGACTGCTTTATTACACAGCTCTACACTGTCATGACTGCTTTATTACATAGCTCTACACTGTCATGACCGCTTTATTACACAGCTCTACACTGTTATGACTGCTTTATTACACAGCTCTACACTGTTATGACTGCTTTATTACACAGCTCTACAGTCATGACTGCTTTATTACACAGCTCTACAATGTCATGACCGCTTTATTACACAGCTCTACAATGTCATGACCGCTTTATTACATAGCTCTACACTGTCATGACTGCTTTATTACACAGCTCTAAACTGTCATGACCGCTTTATTACATAGCTCTATACTGTCATGACTGCTTTATTACACAGCTCTACACTGTAATGACTGCTTTATTACACAGCTCTACACTGTCATGACTGCTTTATTACATAGCTCTACACTGTCATGACCGCTTTATTACACAGCTCTACACTGTCATGACTGCTTTATTACACAGCTCTACAATGTCATGACCGCTTTATTACACGGCTCTACACTGTAATGACTTCTTTATTACATAGCTCTACACTGTCATGACAACTCTACACTACTGTAATGACTAGTTCAGTACACTACTCTTGTTTCTCTTTCTTGTATGGACAGAAATTTATACTTTGCATTTTCTTTTCTTTTTTGAAAAGTAGCATTCATTTTAGAAGTAGCATCCATGTTAAAGAAACTGGGTTTTTTCTCATCTTCAGGGTAGAAACAGAAGAGAGTGAACGAGTGAGTTGTGTTTGCTTCTAATTGGAACAGAATTTCAGTTTCATGCACATTTCATGTATGTCACCGGAATTAGTAAGGAAAGGCTAAGTGGTGCAGATACAAGATCTTCACCTCTTTAGTAGGACGCCAGCTTGGGTATGTGCTGAAAACCAACGGAAAAAATAGGGTGGAACTGCCATTCACTTTTGTTCAATGTTGTACAATACTGAATTTGGTATTGTCCTATGCATGATTTGGTCCCACCACTGAAATCCCCAGCAACCTATTCGTCATACAAACGTATCGGTTGGTCCGTCTCAGGGACAAGGTTGATTCGAATGTCAACAAATCCCAAATCATGGAGCTTTGCTCACATTATCAATCACTGGATTGTCTGGTCCAGAATCAATTATTTACATGCTGTCTCATGCAGCTGGAACGTTGGACAGTGTGTTGTCGAACAACAATTAGATTGACTTGAGTCAAGTCCTCATCACAACATAGAAAAAACAAAAGAAGAAACAACTTTGAAAGTCAATTTTATTGGTGGCCTGACAGGTTCCTGACCAATATACGAGTCTTTCAGCACAGAATTCATTAAAAGTTGATTATGTTACATACCCTATGCTTCTCATCATGTACACAATGAGGGTACCCCCTCATACAACCAGGTCATTCAGAATCCCCCTCCCCCCACCCCCCCAACCCTGTCACAACTCCATCAGAACATCTGTCTTGCTGACCTTGGAATCGATGTCAAGGTCAATTGTCTTGCTTGCAGTCTGACAAGGATACAGTACAAATTTTCAATTTACATCTGAACATTTGATATGTTTTATAAATGAATTGTACGTAAGGCTTGTACCCTGTGACAGCATGACAGTAACACCCGTTCACACATACTGCACATAATGCCATAGCGACTACCTGCACACCCTACTCTCTGACTTAAACTGGCCCAATGCATTGTTGCGGTTGAAACCAACCAATGACGTAGGTAGGGAGACTAGAATGATGGGATGAGTATTATCAAAAGTTAAAAACACTTACAGAATATGAATGAACCTTGCTATGTGAAATGCCAAAACAAACCATGCATCAAAGATATATTTGATTCTATGCTTTAAATTTGTTTAAAATGCAAGCATTTGTAAATGGCATTTGAATTTAAAAACTCATTCTAATTTTGATTTTAAAAAGTAAACATTCTGGTGTGTGATGCTTAGTTTAGGGTCATGATGAAATTGGCCAACAAAAATAAATTACAACAAACAATACTTTGACAACAAAATGTCATGGCTAAGCCGTTTAAATAATTCACCACAAATATGTGTACAACTATTTCGTCTTCAGTAATATAAACATGCTAAAACACCACAGCGTGTGGCTAAAACCTGGCTGACCATTCTCAACTAAAGGGCTCTGCACTGCGGCCATGTTCAAACCATAGAGGGGGGTGGTAGGTTTGACAATAAAACAGAATAGAATAGCTCACATTCAATGAGCAGCCCCTGAGTCAATAAGATAATCTTCAAATATTGGACAACTATGTACATATATTACATCATAACTCATAGTTAATTAGACCTTGTGGGCCAATAGACAGTGAACAGCTCTGATCTGTACAGTGAATGCTTCAGTTTCTTCATCGGTGTTCAGATACGCCTTTCTCAACCTTGCGACGTTCTCACCCAAATCTTTGAGCACACATTCCTCTTTGCAGCCCATGGTTTCTCATAGCACTGAAAAAGTCGCCTTTCTCATGCACAATAGAAAGAAAGCATCTTCAAATCTAACCACTCCAAAATCTGTTATCTTGGGATAATAGATGCCAGTGCTAACAAAACAAATACTCTCTCTGTATCACATGATCTTTGGACATTCCAGAGTTTGTTCTGCCATTTAGTGCTTTCATTGTTCAACGAAGCATATAGCTTGCGAAATCACAGGTAGTGCATGGTCTTTGGTTGTAGTTGAAGATGTCACAGCGACGTTGAGGTCACAGCAACGATGCTAAAGAGGTCTCAGTCACATTGTGTAAAGCGTTTGCCAAGACTGTGGACCTTGATCGAAGCAGACATCACCGTCTCTTTGAGTGGTACTCTTTTAAGTAATTCCCTGAACGAAAGAATACAACTTTTTCCAAAGAAATTACGGAGATTGCTTCGTGTATGCCATTTGATAGTTTCCATGCCATGTCACTCATCATGTCCTGGCACAAGACAATATTCGAGCCCTTAGGTTAGTCAATCTTCTCCACTTTGGCCACAATCTTGTCCATCCACATTGGCAACACTGCGTTGTCGTCACCGACTTCTTCGAAAACAGCACCCTCTCCAAACTCATCACTGTCACGTTTGAAGTAGTATCTGCAAGGAAACAAATACATGACATTATAGAATCATTTATACGAACTTTTCATAAGAACAAAAATGTTTTAAAGATGTAATTTCATCAGTTTTGTTGTTTGTTTGTTGTTTAGCACTGCACTCAGCAATATTCCAGCTATATGACTGCGGTCTGTAAATAATCGAGTCTGGACCTGACAATCCAGTGATTGACATCATGAGCAACGATCCACGCAATTGGGATATGACATGCATCAACCAAGTTGGCAAGCGTGACCACCCGATCCTGTTAGTCGCCTCTTACAACAAGAATTTACGGCAAGCATGGGTTGCTGTTCTACCCCGGATCTTCACGAGTCAATTTCATCAGTACATAGAAACAGTTGAATCTTGTTCTTTCACTTTTAGTATTCCAGCACTATTGCAGTGGGACACTGGGACTACACATATTGTACCTATTTGGAGAATTAAACCTACTTCAGCATGGCAGGCAGATATCTTTAACCATGAGGCTACCCACTGCCCCCATAGATATGTTTGTGGTTCTAACATTTTGAAATGGATGTTTACTCACTTGAAATTTCCCTTCTTTGTGATGAGAGTCTTGAACTGTGCAAGCGTAATGCATCGTCCGGGGAACACGTGGCGGTACGGGATGGGCTCCTGCCCGAAGTAGATGCCCACGATGGTCTCGCTTGACGAAGCCGCGGAGGTACTTGTGTTCATACTTGTGTTTGGTGCAGGTGGGGGTTTCCTGTAGGTCTTTGGTCTCCTGGAAATAGTAGGGCTTCATTAGCATATTGCTTCAATCGATATTCAAACTAAATGGTTCAACTGGCTTTTGATACATGTTTCTTAAAACAGAATACAAAGAATGTTAGTGAACTATATATTCTGTTTATGGTTGTCCTATTTCACATTTGTCAATATCAACTTCATTACAGGCAATATTTTGAACATGATTATTGTTTATTGCGGGTTTATTCTGGCAGGAATTTGGTCATTTCTGTAAATACATACTCGAAAGTCTGGCTCCCTCCTGAAATATCCAGGTCACTGGGAACAGTTTTGGCAGAAGGCATTGTGCGCATCTGTGATGCACTCTGGGACACGACAACTTTACTCTTGTCTCGGGACGTGACACCAGCGAAAGATCTGGAAAAGATACAAGATTAGTAACAATGTTCAAAGGGCAGGTAACTCAAGGATGGTGTTCTCTCCCTTCCACTGGTGTGATGATACTGAGGAGGGGAGATACAACAGTTCCAGATACATATGTATTAAGATGCGCAAAATTTAAATAGTTTGATATTTAAATCAGATTTTTTGTGCAGGCTATGAGAATAATTCCACGTGCCGAATAATCCTAGCTGCCTCTACACTCTAAAATCCACGAACAAAGTGGGTGACTGACACTGTCAATATCATTGCTATACAGGGCCAAGCCAAAGATGAAAAGTTGCTCCTCATATTCATTAGAAACAAGCTGGTAATGACTATGAAAACTGGAAAATGGGTTTCTTGATAAATGTGACACTCACTTTGATTTAACTGGGCCTGCAGATGAAGATCGAACTGTGCCCTCGGCTCGTTTGCCACTGCCTGCCATGGCCGATGTCCGTGATTGGTCCTCTAACCGGCGACGAGCCTCTTCCAGCTGAGTAGTTGGGTTCGGGGGTGGGGGGAGTGGCATGGACGAGTCCTGCGCAAATGGTTGATTGGGCAAGATCTGTGCAGACTGACCAATAGGAGTCCATGATAGCAGAGAGCTTCTTTCAACAGAAGCAGACCGACTTGTTCCATGCCCAACCTTCTTGGAACTAGAATTGAAAATAGCAAATTCCTTTTACAAAAATGTACATTGAACTACTGAGTAACACAAAGTTTTACGTATCAAAATAACTTACTTTTGATTTATCAATTAGGAAATATACATGTACTTTATTTGCAGTAGCCTCACCTTTGTTTGTGTGTTTGCAACGAGGCACCAGCTGATTGGTTGAGACGATGACGTGCGTTCTTGTGTGACGATCCCTTGTCTGCCTCCTGGTGGCCGCTGCCTGGTTCCTGCTGACGCTCGGAGTCCATCATCCATTGCATCACCCTGGAACACAAGAGTCAATCATAAGAGCTGGGCATACAACACAGAATCACATATGACAATGTTTGACATACGACACAGAATCTCACATCACAATGCTGGACATACGGCTCGGAATCACACAGCAATTACAGCGAGCGAGTGAGTGAGTGAGTGAGTGAGTGGTATCTGCTCCAGTCTCAGCCTGACCTCATATACACCTTGGACATATTACATAACCTGTGTATACAATGCTTGAAGCATATCCGCCCCTTATCAATGTCTGGCTATTTTGTCTGCAGTGACATGATTTTAAGCTGATTTTGTAATACTCCATTAATATCATGGCAGATGGCAAGACTCAGCTGATATGGGAATAAAACCTGGTATTCAGCATGACACGTGCAATACCACTTAGCTGTCCAACACCACTGGAGTCAGAACACATGCTAACTCAGCCAGCTATAGCGAGCTGCCTTCCACAGTGGCATCACCTAGTACTACCTGTCAACTGAGATGCTCAGCTACCCAATGTAGCAAATCCTTAGCAATACAAGTAGCTAACAAGTACAAGCTTTGTGTGTCATAGTACACATAAATCTCTGGAAGTGAAGCCAAATGCATCACGTTATCTCTTTCCATGCTTTTTCCTTCCTCTCTATTTCTCAACAAGTAAACAAACAGCATAAAACAATTTTATGTGTGAACAACAAACATAAATCCTGCAGTGCCATTTGAAAAAGTAACTGAAAGATTCATGGAGGCTGCAAAAACCGCTAACATCACTCAAGCAAAGATAGGAGGTGTCAGTGCCTACTTGATATTAAGAACATTCAAGGTACATAGGTACAATTCATCCTGGCATGTTTGGATTACAAGGGAAAAGAAACTGTTATGCATATTTCAAATGAGGCCTAGAATATAACGGTTATGTTTGTCAAAACTGATTAATGACATGCCTTTGAGCCATTGTCAAGAGCAAATAAAAATTCTGAAAGTTTTATTATCGGATGTAGCCTGCATTAATGTCCTTGCTTGCAACTTTTATTGCACAATTTCAACCAACCCAACAATCCCCAAAGTAAATAATCTCTAAACATTTGGAACCAAACTAAAAGCGTTTCTGATAACCTCTTTAGTAAAAAATGAGGCATTAAGCACAATTAAAAAAACGACGCTAATTTATCTTTTTCTTCAGGTCTGCTCTTCAACGTTTTAAGTGAAAGGATCTTGTAATCTATTTGAATTTCAACTGATCCTAAACCTTTCCACTAACATGAATCAATGCTTTTAATCTGTCCCCAATTAGGGTTCTTCGTTTGATGTACACATCGTCTCTGAAAATTACTCATAACAGAAACGATCAGGAGAGCGCAACTGAACAAGACCCCGTTTTATGCTTTGAAATCAACAGATGAGATTTGTCAGTTGCCCAACAAACTAACACTTTGATATTGCTAACTATCAAAGCTGAAAAATGGATTTTTAGAGCAAAATATCCCCATTAAGTTCACAAATAAAATTAAAAAAATATAAATGGATAATAGAATCTTTGAGCAGCGAGAGACATTTCAGTCTGATATCTGTTCTGGCTTTCTTGATGTGTCTTAGATCTCTTCTCATTAGCTTTTGTGTTGAATTTCAAAAGAGGCATTCACAGAAGCCGCACTCGTCAAAGAATCAGCAATTCATCATGTTATTTGGAGCATCATTTCAACCAATAAATCTTCATTAATTATTCTTTTTCCACTCAAAACAAGTATGGCTTTGCAAGCGGTCAAAAGAGTTGCTTTGTAATCCTAGCACCGTCAAAGACAACGACAGCAGTTATATGTTTTACACAATCAAAAAAACATGAAAGTCAGCTCTTTGAAGTCTGTGGCTGCATGTCAAACAATTTGAGCTGTTTGGAAAGAAAACGGCCAATGGTTGACCCTCGTCAGCAATATCAATTACTAAAGCTGAGCGGAGCTTATCTACAAAGTACAGACGCAGACACAGTAATACCGACACCCCTTTGAAGTAGCAATTTATCCTATTTCTAACAACAAAAACAAATTATTAAAACAGAAAAACTAGGAACACATAAAAGGCTGGCCCTATAGAAGTAAATTGATAGAAACGTTTCAAGCTTTCTCTACTCTCTTTGGGATTCTATTTCAATATGCTCACTTATTTCTGTTATGAGTCAAACTGGAAAACATAATTACATGGTAATCGCTCTCTTGTAACATAATAGACGATTGAGGAGTTCTATTTCTTTATTCTAATCAAATTGGTCGTCTCATTTAGTTTTTGTTATGAGGATCATCAAAGAAGTTGGACCAGGTAATACAAGCCTACATCAGACATTACTCATACTACTGTACACACAACTACTTTCATGATGATACCACCAAACACACTACTTTCCTGACGATACAAGTCTCATTGCTTTTTTAAAATCAATTAATATTTCGGATGATGTTTATCTCTTTTTTTTTCCAAAGATCATAGGAAAGGAAAAAATGTTCCTTGGCTAAAATTACCATGACAGCAGCAGCATCATAGAATGTTGGTCAAGTTACTTTATCAAGAGTTACCTTATCACTGCTACTGCTCAAGTGATCTGAGCATTATGCCAATGTGGTGTCAAAGAAAATGAAAAAACAATATTTTGAGCCTGAATAGTTGCGTTTCCATTCAATTTGAATAAGAAGGAAATGTTTTATTATATTTTCATTGGACAAGAAACCTTTTCCACCCAAATTTCAAGGAGATGCAACAATTCAAAATGTACAAAGTTTGAAAATGAAAACCTTTTGTCATTCTTGCAGTTGACACACGTCACATGATATATTTGTTTCCTTTTTAAAAACTAAAATGCTATCATCCTACCAATCATTCAATGCTAAAGGGTTAACCCTGATTCAAAAAAGCCCAGTTTGCAGCTGCTATGTTTGTAACCTATAAGTGTCACTAGCACATTGCAGCATCATCTAACACCCTGTATTCAATAGCTTTAAGGACTGCAAGAGTATAGCACACATGTGGTTAGCTTATCTCATCCATTGTTTATGTTGTAGTTCGTAAACAGAGAGTAACCTTTCTCAAGACAAACACATGAGGCAGGGTGTGTACAATTATACATAAAACAAGCACACCGGGAATGCACCAGACATAAGAAATACTTCTCTGTAGATTCCCTCTTTCAAAGGTCCAACAATTTTTGCTTTTAACGATTGTTTTCATCTACTCTGAAAGTCTGCTAAGCTTGTTGTAGGAGCCAGAAAAAGCAGTGTAGAGCTATCATAAAAGTGATACTGTTGGGGGGTGTTCATGGGGGAGCCGCGAAGGGGGAAACAGATGTGGGGGAGACTAGGCGCAGAGAAGGTGCATACTATCAAGTCTGTAACACCAGGATCAGGCCACTTTGATGTGAGGCCGTAGCCCCCAGAGACCTCAAGCTGGGGAGGAATGGGCTAGGAAGTCTGGAAGTGTGTGGCACACTGGTGCATTCAATACCTCAAAGTTGAGGTGGGGTGTGTGGCACATTTGTACATTCAATACCTCAAAGCTGAGGTGGGGTGTGTGGCACATTTGTACATACAATACCTCAAAGCTGAGGTGGGGTGTGTGGCACATTTGTACATTCAATACCTCATGCTGGGGTGGGGTGTGTGTGGCTCACTGGTACATTCAATACCTCAAAGTTGAGGTGGGATGTGTGTGGCTCACTCGTACATTCAACACCTAAAAGTTGAGGCGGGGTGTGTGTGGCTCACTGGTACATTCAATACCTTAAAGTTGAGGTGATATGTGTGTGGCTCACTCGTACATTCAACACCTAAAATTTGAGGTGGGATGTGTGTGGCTCACTGGTACATTCAATACCTTAAAGTTGAGGTGGGATGTGTGTGGCTCACTCGTACATTCAACACCTAAAAGTTGAGGTTGGGTGTGTGTGGCACACTCGCACATTCAACACCTAAAAGTTGAGGTGGGATGTGTGTGGCTCACTCATACATTCAACACCTAAAAGTTGAGGTGGGATGTGTGTGGCACACTGGTACATTCCATACCTTAAAGTTGAGGCGGGGTGTGTGTGGCACACTGGTACATTCAATACCTCAAAGTTGAGGAGGGGTGTGTGTGTGGCACACTGTTACATTCAATACCTCAAAGTTGAGGTGGGATGTGTGTGGCACACTGGTACATTCCATACCTCAAAGTTGAGGTGGGGTGTGTGTGGCTCACTGGTACATTCAATACCTCAAAGTTGAGGTGGGGTGTGCCTGGCTCACTGGTACATTCAATACCTCAAAGTTGAGGTGGGATGTGTGTGGCACACTGGTACATTCCATACCTCAAAGTTGAGGTTATGTGTGTGTAGCTCACTGGTACATTCAATACCTCAACGGTTTGTATAGAGAAGGGTTTGTATAGAGAAGGGTTTGTATAGAGAAGGGTTTGTATAGAGAAGGGTTTGTATAGAGAAGGGTTTGTATAGAGAAGGTTTGTATAGAGAAGGGTTTGTATAGAGAAGGGTTTGTATAGAGAAGGGTTTGTATAGAGAAGGGTTTGTATAGAGAAGGGTTGGATGTGTAATGGCTAGGGGGCTACTCTACATGTTTTTCTACACCTTACCAAGTTAGTTCAGTATGCATTCTAAAACATTTAAGAGCTGGTACAACAACATCATATTAGTGCATATCACATTGAACAAAATATTACAGCTAACAGTGCACTGACACTTCTTCATGCCCTCTATGCTAGGAGAACAGCAGGGATGGGACAAGGGGATGCTGCTACACATGAAATTCAACTCATTTCCCTGCCCCTTAACATGAAATACTACCCATTCCCTTGCCCCTCCTGGGGGATGGGGGGTAGGAAGAGGAGAAGAGCCCCCTTGGAGACCCCCTGCCCCCCCAATGTGAGGGAGGTGAAGTGGGAGGCACACTTCCCATGACATCACTCTAATCTTCCATGGTGCAGACTTTATCAGCTCGCAAACATTAGCGGACAACATCAAAGGCAGAGAGCAGTTTTGTAATCTAATAGCATTAATTGGTTGGTTCAGGGCAATTAATTCTTTCTTCTAAGGTTCCACTGATCATCTTGTTCTCAGATGTTGTAAGACTGACCCCATGTGCAAAGAACTCTCACTTGCTACACAATTACAGACCTGGAAACACCAGAGAAGAGGGCTCCCCCATCATGAATCATCCCAGATCAAAGTCCCTGGGTTACCACAGGAGCCATGGGCATAGAAAAGCAAAAGGGGAAGCAACTCTGTACAAAATGCTTCCTCCTTTATTGGAGATCCCTTTGTAGAAGTCACTACGACTTCCTTGTGTTTACATCTTCTAAGGGACATGCGGGAAAGATTAACTATTATCAAGGAATCTTAACAAATGAGTTCTGTTACAAAGAGTTTTCCTGCTGGAAATTCTGTTTGATGAAACAAGATAAGGATCACTCTTTCTTTGTGAAACAAATGGCTCATCGATGCTGGGCGTTCTGAGATAGCACGATGCATACATTATCAAATATTGATCACCCGTTATAACTGTATGAAATATTACACTGCGTCTTCAGTGTCTTTATTAACGGATGTCTTTGTTATAGTTTGACAAGACCCTTGGAATTCTTCCTCTAAAGCACAAAGTAACCTCTCACTACGCTTGGGTTCAGTATTTATGAAAAATTCTTTGGATGAATGAGAAAATATTTACGACATGGTCTAAACCATTAATTATAAAACAATTCTTTGGTCATGTTTTCCTCCTCAATCAAGTTGGGCATAGACATAAATTATGTAAAACTACCTCCTTGAGAATAACACGACCCATTAACCTTGGTATATAGTAATTAATATCTTCTCACATCAAACCAATGTTATGATGGAAGCTCATGGCTAATTAACAGCTGGAATCTCATTTTCCTTTGATGTTAAACAAGCTTAGACTAACACAGAGGTGAAATGGGAGCTAATTTGGTGTTCCGAACTGATCGACCACACCATAATGATTACATCTTAACTAATTATAGGCAGGGTACATGATCACAGCTGACTTCACATGACCCACAGACAGCTTATCTGAGGCAGCCTAGACTAAACAGTGTTGGTCTGCATCTAGTGTTACTAACAAATGGGGATGTGTTTTTCGACTGGGAACTGGAAAATTTGGTTGGTTGCAACGGCATATGAGACCAAGGGATCTAATGGAAGCAGTGAGATGTGTGTGATACAAGATACCACAGCACGATCAATACTGGACAGGCAGAGGAATACAATCACAATGTTTAACTGTCTAGCACATTAGCACAACCTGCACCTGATCTCTGCCATGTTATAAAGAGGTGGGTAGGGAAAGGCTAAGTGAGCATGTAATATCTGTTGTATTTCCCTACTGATGCATGTCATCTGTTTCTATATACACATGTGCTGCTATGGCGGCGATGGTGCACCATTAGCATCATTTAAGACACAAGTCTCCATGATGTATGCCTACGCAACAGCAAATTAATGTGAACAGCAAAATGCTTTCTGGAATGTTGTACCAAGTATTTAAGGACAATAAATTAATTCTTTATCTTGTGTCAACATGCGCTTCCTTCGAGACATTAGAAGAGGTAAAGAATAAAGCATGTGACACTCCGATACCTGTTCAGTGTTCTGACATAAAGACGAACAGAGGCCTGTAGGATTGGTTCGTTAGTTTGTTGTTTAACGCCGCACTCAGCAATATTCCAGCTATATGACCGCAGTCTGCAAACAATTGAGTCTGGACCAGACAATCCAGTGATTGATATCATGATCCACACAATTGGGATCGACGACATGCATCAACCAAGTCAGCGACCCTGACCACCAGATCCTGTTAGTCGCCTCTTACACCAAGCATGGGTTGCTGAAGACCTTTTCTACCACGGATCTTCACGGGTCAGGCCTGTAGGAAATGTAAGCAGGAGTAGGGTCACCATGGTGCAAGTTTAGCCACTTGAGACAGCTAATGCTCTTTCCTAGTAGTGGCAAAACACATACAATCCATTTTCAAGAGGTAGAGTTTCCCATTAACTGCCCACATACTATTCTATTTGCCAACATCCTAAAATGAATGAATGCATGTAAATCCCACAGATCTTGGAAATGAATTCTGGAAAGAAATTATTTAAGATGAATATTAAATAACTTACTTTTCAGCATTAGGTCCAGTCACTATGGGCATACGGAGTAAGGAATCCTTGTCAAACACCATGCTTATTCCACTGTCAATATGACTACTTGCATCAGAGCCTTTCCTAGTTGCACAACTCTTTTTAGAGGACCTTCCGCGAGTCTCTATCTCACGATGATGGAACTCCGAGAAGCTCCGAGAACCGTTATTGATTAAATCACTACCTATACATGCCATACTGTATTTCTGCGCCTCGTACTCCATTTGTTGTTTACTGGTCCGTAACTCCCGATGGTGATGATGGTGATGGTGATGTATATGACGATGCGTTTCTTTGTTACAACTCTCATCGCCAACGCCACTATCACATGATGCAACAAAGTCACGATTTTCCCGTTTCCGACTACGATGACCGGACACACCACCAGCGGGGAGAGTCTTATTTAACCGAAGCCTGTCTGGCGATTTGTTCCGAGGTGAATGTCTACCTGGTGACCGGCTCGGTGTATGGTGGTTTGAGTTTGCCCAAATCCGAGAACAGTGTTGATCTAATATACTCTCTGCTGTCTCCTCTTCCACAGCAGACGTGGACATCATTGGAATGATGGAGGTGGCAGTCGTATTCTTCATCATTGAAGTGCCCGCCGTTTCATCAGCCTGCAGATGGACAAAAAGTTGTGTAAAGTTTCCTATTGACACCGCCTAACTTTTGTAATACTTGCCATTATAGGAACAATTGTGCCTTGATGTACACACACACTTGACCATACTGATCATTTGATGACAATAAAATGTAATATTATCATAACAAAAACTAACCTAACACAGTACCAACATGTCATTATCAATAGCATTGTAAAATAACAGTTGAACATCTTATAAAAAAAACAGAAGAAGAAATTAAAGCAAGAATGAGGTTAATGAATTTGGAAAATATCTACATTGCAAATCCAAGATGGCCACCAGGCTCTTACCCACCTCACTCAAACATCTCAACTTCTCATCAACCTTGGCCCCTGCCTCCCGTTCCTCGAGGACAGCCTGCATCCTCTCGATCAACATTTGTGCAAACTGTTGTGGGTCAGACTCTGCGATATTGCGATCTTTGGGAGCCCTTTCTGTCCGCTGGAAGTGAAATAACACCATATAATATCTATCGGAAGAGTCATTGGGCATAGATGGTATTATTTTTATCATATTCCATTGTTTCATTCATTTAGACACATTAATAAAAATAAATACAAATAACTTGGAGAGAGTGAGTTTTTATACCATGGCTTATTCATTCAAAGTTCGCACCTGAACAAAAACATGAACTTGTATAAGAAAGGATTATATATGTGAAGTAATTTGTATAACATTAAGTGCAGTAAGAATGACAATCCTTTTACTTACAGGGATAAATTGTGAATGAAGCATTAGGTTTGGCTCCCGGTTCTGTTGTGCCATGGTCTTCATAGCCTTACGTTGACGCTTAAGATTGTAGTGAGATGCATCACTGAAAAGATAAAAGTTGACATGTTAACACTGACTAGTGATTGAATAAGCAGTAGTTGCCTGCATTGCCGACTATGGGACACAATTGGCACTGGTTGCTTTACCACTTTGGTAAAACCCCTACTGGATTTGAACCCCAATGGCAGCCTTGCTACACAGTGGGCTGTGACCACTGGGCCAACCAACAATCATGGAACAGTAATTAATTTACTAATTAGTACTATAAAAGGTATATCAGGGTGTTTTCATGTTGATATGATCCTATGTGTCTGGTCTTAGTAAGGTCATCGCCACACAGCCTTATCGAGAAGAGCAAGTATGGTCTTACACCGCTTTCAGCAATATTTCAGCAATATCATGGCAGGTAATGGGCTTCACAAAAAATTGGGGAATCAAACCCGGACCTGCCATGTGATGAGTGAATGCTTTAACTACTAGGCTACCCCATCGCCTCCATAAAAGAAAACAATACCAGTTTTCCACAAACAAATGATAAAAGAAAAATATAACGTGCCCTAGTCATAAAATGAATGAATCTTTGCCATGACAAGCTTACAGGTCAACCCCAATTCTACCCCAAACACCCCCAGGTATTTCACGCGAAATCTCTCAGTACCCACTCGTCTCCACCGATGTAGTTGAGGTCAGCGACCTCACATGTACACACAACATTCCCCACCCTGCCTGGCACTGTATCCCATCACTACCATCAGCCATTACAGCCAACCATCAATACACCATTTAAGCTGCTGCTATAAAAAGTAAAGCTATCTTCACCATCAAAGCAGATTTTACTTTGATTGTTGCTATCCACAAAAGGTAATGGAGACAAGCCTTTGAGTAATTAGCGATAATGTCTTCCTCAATGTTTATCAATTAAGTGTCTAGCTTAATCCCCCATTGTTTACAGAGTTTTATTACAGGTGCAAAGGCATACAATAGACTGCCGGGGCGTTTTATGTTCCGTATTCCCTGTAGTGACTCCAGGCATTCTTTTGATGAAGTAAAGAGAATGGCTGGCAGCAATAAAAGTTCCTCATATTTCCATTTGGACTGTTATATAATTCTAGATGAAAGAGGAACTTGTTTAATACCTTATATATGAATGGTTGTATTGAGCACACACCAGCATAACTTGAATGTTTTCTTTTCTTTAAAATATGTTTTAATCTCTGATGTAGGTTTTGTCCTTGCCCCAACTCCTTAATCTACTTCAGAGCCCTGGCATTAATCCCATACTTTATCTTTGACAGTGGTAATGTAACTTAGTAGAACTTTGTTCTGTCTTTGTATTACAAATGAGAGGAACTTGTTTAATAACAACCAATGCTGACTTTTTCTAGCCAAGTGTTAATAACACCTAATAGACAATTGTTCTGTAAATGAGCAGATTCCAATATTAATAGTGCCTCAGTGCCAGAATCATGTGTTTTATTTGATATTGGTGCTGAAACAAAAAGTGGTACTACAACTACAAGTACCAGAGAGCTTCAATATTACTCTCTTTCTCCCCTTGGGGTGCAATAATGCTGAATTCATACAATCAAATCTTCAAACCAAAAATGTATTAGTCAGTTTCTATTTATTTTTCATATGGCCTGCAGCAAATTCTTGGGTTGGTCACCTTTCAATTGTATGACCACAACCAAGATCAGCGTTTCCTTGACTTGGGGGCCATATTCACCATATCTCCCTGACTGGGGGGCTATATTCACCGTATCTCCCGGCAGCCCTGAGTCAGAACAACTGGACAGCCAGCTAACAGTTTCAAGCTTCACTGGAGGTGCCCTTATTGTCCCTTGCTACCATTCAACCCAACTAAGACAGACCCTCTACACAAAGAAAGTCAGCCCAAGGCAAGCCTTCTTAACCTGGAGCAGTCTACCGGGCTAAGTTGGCTGCCCCATATCTTTTGTTACCAGTTTTCTCTCCCAAGCTTGCTTTGCAGGTCCTATCCAGCTCCTATGAATGAAACGAGTCCACAACTCACTGATCAGGGCCTTGTACTAACAGCCAATATGGCTTCCATTTTGAATCCTCTCTCTTCCCCAGGAGATGGGAGACCTTCAATTTGTTTTATCTATCAATCTCAGGATTCAAAACTCAGAGCAGGTGCCCTTAAGGTTGTGATAAACCATCAAAGAGTGTCTAGTGCATCAAATGAAGGGTACCAAGCAACAAAAATTCTGAGGGTTGGAACCCGTTTCTCATGAAATGTTAAATTTGTGTGAGTAACTTGCAATAATAAATACTGATAAATAATCTGGAATTTTTAATAGTTCAAAATCATTTCAAGAACATGGCAAATTATTGTTCTTAAACCACTTCCTTTTTTAGTTTTTAAAAATTATTCAGATATCAAATTGTTGAAATAATACAAGGAAAAAAAGATATATATGTTATTGTGTTCTCATTATACACTGTCTATAGAGTAACCCAATTTCCATTGCACCTTTCTAACCTAACATCATCCACACGTCATTGCAATATAGTCAGGACTAACACACAAAATGTCCCATCCTTTACTTCTCATCAAATTTACCAGACTGTCTGTGTAATGATACACTAGTACAGGACATACCTCCTGACCTCCCCACATTCCTCGGTGGACTAGTCTGTTGTGTGAAGATTGGACAGTGTCTACTCCAAAAGAGGGGTGGAAACACTTACACCAGATTTTTTACATTCTTACAGGAGCATCAAAAGGCTAAGAAGAGACAGATAAGCAAACAACTGCAAAAACACTTTATGGTAAAGCTAGTAGTTTCTTACACAGAGACCTCTCCACAACAATCTGGATGTATTCTTGAAACAGTTGATAGAAATCACCACAAAGTGCCAAGTCACGTTATCAGTTTGTGAATGTGGGCCCTCCTCCTTATTCCTCAAAACTATGTCGTAACTCACTGATCAGATGCCTGGAAGACCATGCAGACATCTCACCTCTAGCATTCACACAAGATGTAAAAAATCTACATACCTGCCATTTCACAACCTATTACACATCAAACATGTTCTGCTGACAAAGTTGAAAAAATATTTAATGATTTTAACCCTTGGTATGAGCTAATTAACAAAATTTCACAAAATATTAATCACATCAAAATCTCTTTTGACATTTGGGATAAAAAGTAATCATTTTACAAACAGTCTTTCATATTCCCCCTTCCTAAGATTCATCTCCCTTTCATTTCACCACCCTTTTTTTCAGAAGATCGTCAAAGAGACGAGGTTTTGTCATCATCTATGTGGAGTCTTTTGACTAACGCTGATTTGAACCATAATGCTCTTCATTCGATTTTTTGGAGAAAATGAACTGACAACAGAGGGAGAGCAGACACTTTAATGCCAAGATCACTCATTGTATCGTTGTTTTCAACAACATATTACAAAGAAAGATGAGGCAGGGTTGATGTTAACAAGTTAATGGAAACTCGGGTTGGATAAACCTTCGAGGCAAATTAGTCTACTACTTGAAAGCTACTGCTGAACTCCATTCTCAAGCCATGCTCTTAGACAAACTACAAGAAATCTCATAAAGAAAGCCAGCACAAAGAGACATTTACAAGCATTTGTGTTCCATGACAAGATCAAACCAAAGGAAAGTTTAGCTGAACAAGAAAAAGAAGGAGTATAGTCCGACATGATATATAGGCCTGAGTTGGAGGACCGTGTTCTCTGTACTACTATCAACACAATCTCACTGTTGTGGGCCAATCACAGGCCTGCACTGGACCAGGTAGAGCTTTTGAAGATCAAAGCACCATGCTATTCATTAGATAAAAAGCTTTCCGCTATGGAAGTGGCTAGGCCTTTTATAAACAAGGCATAAATTGCTTGATGGGGGCTGGCCTAGGCGTTTGAAGTTTGCATGTGTGTTAGGCTCGACTGATTGTCAATGGCAAATTGATCGCCAAAGAGGGTAACATAATGGGGCGCTTCCCAGTCCCTCTGCTTCAAAGACTGTCAGACAAAAGCCTGCTCACATGTGGATACGGCTCGTAATCACCCGCCATAGTAATTTAATTACTACAAAGAAACATATAACATGAGTCGTGCTCATGTTTAGGAGTGGGTTTTCGGTAAAGAACACCTTTCTGCTCCATGAACAAAAGGATACAGAGAAACAGATATGCTGGATGGCATAAAATACCACAGCAAAAGTTTTTAATTCTGTGTAAGGGAAGACAGAATATATCTGTTAGAAGTGACGTGGGTTTCTGGTTCGGGATATAGGAAACCTTTAAAAGCCTGTGTACGGACATCAAATAAGTCATGAAAATATTGGCTTACATCAATAAATGAAGTTTTGGATTTCAAAGGGACTTGTCTGTATCGAGCACATTTCTTCCTAATGAAACGACAAAACATATCTTTTTATCAAACATGAAATTCTAAGCAGATTACTTGTTAGTTTCTCTGTTCTAAAACCATGTAGAATTTTATCGAGGGTTTATGCACATCCTTTGTTCCAACTTCAAACGGAACTGTCCTCAGTGGTTATATTTCAGGGGACATAAAATTGCAAAATAAATTGTTTCCCAGCAATTGATGCCTTAGCATAATGTTATTCCCTATGTTTTGATATCATTATTTCTACACGATTCTTTGATTCAGAAATATGAATCATGGGACATGTCCGAATAGAGTGACTTTAAAAACTGATAAAAAAAAGAAAAAATGAAATTGAATAAACCTGCCCAATTTAATATTCCTTTTCCTAAAGTAAATATAAATCATCACAGTCCAGCACACATAATAACTGTCATGTAATCTCCCAATTTAATAATTCTCATGACTTATAAGTTCTTGTCAGAGAAAAAAAACACCCAACTGAGCAAAGCAGTTTTTCTCGTCAAAATTGCCTTTTCTCCTCACAAATTTACAGTCAAGATATATGTTAAACGAATTTCTATGAAGCGTCAATGCTAAATCCCTCAACTGTTGAATTGTCATTGAAGCTTCCCATAGCACATGGGAATGAATTCATCTAGTCTGTTCCGCTTGAATGATCAAACACTGGCTAGTAAACTAATATCACCCTGCCTTCCATCTCTGCTTATGATCACTCAACCGGAACATGATTACTGGGGGCCCCGACCATATTTTGTGTTCAACAATGGTTGAATGTGGACATAAAATGTTGAAGATAAACTAGCACCTCTTTGTTATTCAGGTCAGGCCATCTGTCTGATGTATTCAAAGCACCCATGCAACCACGGGCAACATTGTACCCAACCTCTTACAAGTCACCTCTGATGAATAATTTTTCATGTTTAATGGCAAAAAGCAAATCTTTGATAAATAATTCTACTCTTTATGCAAGACTCAGTGACTGTTGTACCTGACCAGGTTTGAGCTTTAGGAGAAATGTTAAAAGAGCATCTCAAATGTTTCCACGATATATTATTTATAAAGCTTTATGTACACTTCAAAGAGAAGACATTGGATCATGGCTGACAACGATTGATTCCTCGTGATCAAATATTAAACATCTTTCAGACAACTGCAGTGAAAAGATTCATTGCCTTCCAAATCACAAACATCTGTTCACATGATGGAAAAAACACTCTGCAGATGTAAGTGATGACACTCTTTTCTGTCGGAAGATAAAATGGCAGAGGTTTTGGAAACACAATAACAACGCTCTTCTTATCTTATTTTTTCAAAAGATAACTCATTTCTCGGATTTGTTTGATGTAAATAGACAGCTTATCATGTTTCTTGCCATTTGATAACAACAAAAATAAAATCTTGACATTAATATTAATCACTTTGAACTTCTGGACAAGAGAATTTGAAATGTTCCAAAACACGATCTCCAGAAAGACATCAAAGTGGCCATCTAAACAAGACAAATTGTCACTTTCACAGTGAATCTACTAAAGACACTTGACATGGAATGCTCTGTGAAATTAAGCGTGGAATGGGTGGGCGTCTGTCAAATTGTAGGCGTATATCAAGTGTCTTAAGAGCTCCTTGAAACATGCCTGGTGTACACAAAAATATATCTATTTTAATTATTGCTTTTTGTTTGTTTAACACTGCACTCAGCAAGTTCCAGCTTTATGAAAATGGCCCTCTAAATGATGAAGCCCGGACAAGACAATCCAGTAATCATCGATATGTTGGTGAATGAGTGGGTGAATGGGCGGAACGCTCTCTGATGTTGGATACAATATTCTGTATGTATCACATATCCCTTAAATACGTTCCACAAGACCTGCAGCTGTCAAACTTGTGGGTGATAGCCTGAGCATTAATCCTCAAAATCAGGAGAGATAGAGGCCCTGCATCCCGCAATTACCTGATCAGCCATTGTATCCAACCAATCCCCTTTGTAGTTACGTGTATTATCATGGGACAGTGGTCTATTTTTCATACGAGTGCCAACCATATGTATATCACGCTTAAAGAAGGCAATATTACTTACATGCTGCTGTCAGTGACGGACATGGTGTCGTCAGTAAGGGCGTCACTCGAGAGAGACTGCAGTTCGCTGTCTTGAGCCGAGGCAGGTGCGTACGACACATGGTTTGGGTAGGACGAATGGCGAGAATTACAATACAGTGGGTACCTGAAAAAAAAAGAATTAAATTTCATTTTGTATCAAACTAGCATGAACAACATGAGTTTGGAAATAAATAAAACTAATGGTAATATTAGTGTCAACAGTGTCAAGAGTATAAGTCTCAATACCTCATATATGTACACAATGTATATGTATGTTTATTTAATAAATTCCACTAATATCAAAGTTCAACTAGAAATCGTTGCAACACAAGGGTAGAACATGTCAACTTTCGATTTGCATGCAGTCTAAGTTCCTGCAGACGCAAGTTTAAAATGGCTATTGTCCCAGTGATGTTCATTCTAGTGTCACATGGCTGGCGCTCATGTTTTCTGAATACTTATATCTCAATCCATGCAGTTAATGGAATTTATAAAAAAAACGTCAAAGCTGTTGATCAACACTTTAGACCAGTCAGCATGGACGATCAAAGCAGCTCGGTTGTTTGATAATGGGGATAGCACAATAGTATCTGCTTGTGTTATTGACAAGACCCCATCAAGTGGAACTTGACAATGAGCAAGGCCTACCAGATATCCATATCATCATAAGCTACGAATTAGTTACCATTGATGAATAGCCGACATAAAAGATCAAAACCACACTTCAAAAACATTATGTATTTTGATTAAAACATAAATGTAGAAGACTGTCCTAATCAATATTCATACTGCAAGCGTGCGCTTCACTGCTTTGAAGATCAAAAGACATCGGTGGCTGTTTTGAATCAAAATTCAGATTCCAGTGACATTTTATCAGGAAGCTGCTAACATGGAAGTTGTTTATCTTAAAGCTCCACAGATCACGTTTTCCTGCCTTTACAGAGAGCACTCGTTCATATGAAACCCTCCAGCTGACTGACCCTACACCTTCAAGATGGATGAGCAATTTATACCTGAACCGTTACTGGAGATAATACGGTACTTCATTAACACTCTTAGCGTTTTATTATACAAACAACAGTGTTATCACATTAAACAATATAATTTAATGTGACCATCCAACATACTTATCTCGATACGTATGCGAGGTAAACATGTAAACAATTCAGAAAGTTTTAAGCAGTGCTCATGCTTGGAAAGATTATCACAGACACATGCATGGTCTGGTGCAGCTAGCGGTGGAAAGAACAAAGACATTTGCTTAACTTGGCTGAGATAAAAACCAAGTCCACTATGAGACAGCTGTGACAGTTCGTGGCCACAAATGGGTGCATATCAATGTACAGTGGAGATAAAAACTAATATTGTCTGGACAGAAAGCAGGGATGGGATAACGTGAAAGTAAGGCAGGGAATATGACAAAATACAATAGGGTATATATGGAATTGGTTAATATATAGCAGGTAGGAGTAGGGAATATGATTAAATATAGCATGAAACTTGTAAGAAAGGGGATATGATAAAATATAGCAGGGAGGGGATACGATAAAAAAGAATTCTGGTGTACATGGTGTAGGTGGGGCTAGTTAAAAAACAGCAGTGGGGTAGGGGAACCACAAGGCAGTGTTGAGAGAGAGGGAGGGAGGGAGGGAAATGGAATAGTGCAGATCTGGGAATGGATAGAAGGGGATATTGGGCTTGAGGATGTTTGGAAGGTTTCTGACGAGGCATAGCTACAGCTGGACAGGGGTATTGCTATATCAGGGTTAAGCAATGGAATGGTATTTGTACTTGAGTAATGAGGCATCTATGATCACCTAATTGCTCAAATTAAATCATGGTATGAAGCAATATTTCTAATGGCAATATCAACACAATTACTGAACTTCATAGAGTAGGCACACCATAATGTAAAATGAACGAACAGAACAGTATATAGAGCATGGAGGTGCTCGTGGCTTGAAAAGTGAAGCTAGCATATTGAAATGAGGAAATAAAACTTCAATCATGTGTTAGTGTTTTGCAGCCTGAGAGAAAGTAGCAAAAAGCTTTAACATTAAACTGAACAAACAGCACATGTGCGGTAAGTGCATTTTGCAAGAGACTCAAACCAAGTCTACTCACTGCTGTTTAGATGAAGGGCTACAAGAAAAATGTAGACTTATATACTTGCTGTACCCTCTGACATTAATTATGATGACAACATAACTCACTAAAGGAACTATACTAAAGACTATATACTTGCTGTACCTTCTCAGACATTAATTATGATGACAACATAACTCACTAAAGGAACTATACTAAAGACTATATACTTGCTGTACCCTCTCAGACATTAATTATGACGACAACATAACTCACTAAAGGAACTATACTAAAGACTATATACTTGCTGTACCCTCTCAGACATTAATTATGACGACAACATAACTCACTAAAGGAACTATGCTAAAGACTATATACTTGCTGTACCCTCTCAGACATTAATTATGACGACAACATAACTCACTAAAGGAACTATACTAAAGACTATATACTTGCTGTACCCTCTCAGACATTAATTATGACGACAACATAACTCACTAAAGGAACTATGCTAAAGACTATATACTTGCTGTACCCTCTCAGACATTAATTATGACGACAACATAACTCACTAAAGGAACTATGCTAAAGACTATATACTTGCTGTACCCTCTCAGACATTAATTATGACGACAACATAACTCACTAAAGGAACTATACTAAAGACTATATACTTGCTGTACCCTCTCAGACATTAATTATGATGACAACATAACTCACTAAAGGAACTATACTAAAGACTATATACTTGCTGTACCCTCTCAGACATTAATTATGATGACAACATAACTCACGAAATGAACTATATTGAACAAAAAAGGTTAGGGATCATGAATATATTTGGGATATTTCTTGTAGTGAGCAATGAGCAATTAAAAAAAATATCCCCAAAAATATTCTTTATTCCTAACTTTTTTTGTTAAGTGTAGATGGTCTTTCTAACTTCTGATCAAACATGTCAAGTTACATTTCATTACATATAAATAGCTTGAAACAAACTTGAATTCTTTTCAACTTAAAGGTCCATACATCAATTGAACTTTCTTTACTCTACACGAGTGAGGGTTTAGAGTATAAAAATGACACTGTTTGGTAACATTTCATGTGTATCACAGTGGGGAACATTGAGACTGCTGTACCCAGGCCACCTAGTCCATGCGGAGACACCAGTGAAGGATGAAAACCAGACAATTATTTCTGTGCAAAACTTTTCAATGGGGATTTATCCATCAACTCAAGTTCAGTAATAACCTGTTCAAAATGATTGCAAAAAGACAAGAATTCAAAGACTCACCCTGATATCGTTTCTGTCCTCTTAGCACCAGACGAATCACTGCGGTAGGACTTATGTGAGAGAACTTTATGAAACAAGGGTGGCCCCATAGTGGTGAATTTGCTGGACTCTGTGTCTAGTTCCTTGTCCTCTGGTAAAGATGGCAGGGGACCGGGCTGGGACATGGGTCGGGCACTGTTAGAGCCACTGGAGTGACTGGACTTTGGACTATCACCGTAGGACTGAACATATTGCACATAAAAATCAGAGTTCAAGAACGCTGGATATGTCACATTTCTCATATACAATTCAACTTCCGTAGCAGCTGTGTCATAAATATACTGATCAACTGCCATTTTCCTGTTGATTTTGTCCGAAATTTCTTGTTTTGTTTCTTTTAACAAACACCTCACGCCATCATTGCGTACGAAATGCTTGTAGATGGCCTTGACTAAAGAAGGGATATTGGTGCTCTGCGCACTCTTGCGCTTGAGTCCCTGACATGCGAACCAGAAGTCCACTTCCAGCGCACCACCACCCTCCTTATCCAGGTACTCCTTGAAGAGCTGGACGCCATCGCTGTCACTCAGGAGGTGGTTCAGATTCTCCGCCCACTTCAGGTGGGGTGGGGTGCTGTTCTCGGTAAAGGGCGGGGAATTGGCGGCACTACCTTCTGGCTCATAGCCATTCGGAGCTTCCATCTCTTCATGGTCCAGCTTTTGTGAAGAGGTACAGCTTGATTTCTCAAGATTCGATTTTCGCGGCGTTGCAGCTGGGGAATGACTTACCTCCCCTTTGTTCGAGGCGGCACTTTTGGTACTTTTAGTGGACGACTGACTCCTGTTACTCTTGTTGGACAAATGACTTTTGTGGGAGCCTGAGCTTTGTGTGGACATACCCCCATTTGACTGAAGCTCATTCTCCTCCCCGGGGACTGGCGGTCGCGGGGCAGATTCCGTGAAGTTGTTACCGCCGGAGTCATTGAGAAATTCATACACTTTGCTTGTCATCCTCGTTGGGACTCAGCATCTCCCATGAGGCCCGAGTTTGTCGTGCTGCCACAGTGTCTTAGAGCCACATCTGAAAAGACGACAAGATGAATCATTACGTTCCTGCAGTATCGTTGTCAACTTCTGACAGATTTCAAATCAAATATGACCGATCGTAAAATTGCCCGAGACTCGGTGTGACCCAAAGCATTTTTCACCAATCAGATATTCAATTGTTCAAATTAACCCACCAAATCTGATAGGAAGACATCATTCATTTCAAAAGATAATAACGACGTGAATATCAAATGAATTAAACTTCAAAATCTAATATGACACTGTCTCCAAAAAATTCTATTCTCTTATTGATCAACACATACTTTGCTCAAGTCTAAGCCAAGTCCACACTGTACATCTCCATCGAGGAAGAATGTCTATTTTGGCACAGGCAAAGCTATTTTTTATGTTAGCAAAGGATGAAGCTGACGATGGTCGTGTAGTCACCTTCTCTCAATCAATGCACAGTCCCGCTATCAAGCAAACAAGCTGATTGGTCATCGCTTACACAGTTCAAGCTTGCTTTTAGCATCAGAGAGCATGTTTGTGTGGATGATTTTGGATTTTTGACCAAAACTCGAGAGAACCATGCAAACAAAAAGAAACCTTTGAAATTCTACTTGTGATGGACTCCGTGTCAACTGACCCTGCATCTCATTGCTCCCTCCTAAATGACGAGGACACAAAGTAAACTTAGCATGCATGGCTTGGATGGAGTAACATTAATAAATAGTATCATGTCAAAGTATTTTTCTGCATCCAAAGATTTTTTGATACAAACGCTAAAACTTTTCATCCACATTTATCTTAATTTTCAACAGTTTTTTCAACTATGACTAACATGCATGATCCTCGCATGTTGCCTCAAATCCGTTTCATGTCTAATAACTGAAACCTTTTGAACTAATTTATTAGCTGACACTTGTATTGATTGATTGATTATGGCTTTATGCCACTTTTAGCAATCTCAATATATCAGAGGGGGACACCAGAAATGAGGCCGACACATACATATTTTCTTACCAAGAAACACAAGTTGATAATCACAGATTCACTATTCCCAGCGGCGACATATGATTCTCAAATAACATGCTAATGGAATTGCTGTAAATCTTTGTGAAGCACTGCACATGTGTATTCAGTAGATCTCTTAAAGCCCTGGTTTCGTGCAAGTAAACTCAACTTTTTTTAAACAATAAACTTCCAACAATACTAAAACCATTTTGACCTCAAACAAGGCAGCCTTTTTCTGATAGTACAGAGACGTGGTTCAACTCAAGGCTGTTTGAATACCACTGACTTCGTGGCTCCACAAATCATTTGATTTATGCTCTAATACTACTCGCGATCTCAACTAAGAACAGTTAAGAACCCTGAAATCTTTGAGACGAGAGGCCTAGCCTTTAAAAGAAAGTCCTACCAAAGTGAATACCATCAGTAAAAGAAGAAGTAAAAGACTTCCACCAACCCTACAAGCTTGACCCGAGAAACATTACATTAAAATCTAAGCTAAAAGGTTTAGTTCTGTAGCCATTCTCCCTTTGACGTTGTCAGTTCCCAAAGATACATGTGGAGAGAGGCTTTAGGAATATGCTTGCAGTTTGGGCTTTGATGTAAGGAAGAATGTTCTCTACTGTAATGAGAGGGCTCAGTCACCCAAAGCACTTCAAAGAATCTCCAGTATCGAGATCTGTGCTGGGGAATCCTACATACAGCCATATGTTTGCAGCCTTGCCCACATCCAACCAGAAAAAACACAGGCCAACTAAGACGAGTGAACCTCGTGACCTCGGACAAAGGGAGGGAAATCCATCTCTTTCACTGCCATAAACAAGGGCATAATTTTGGCTCCTCTTCGTAGTGGCCTTAAGTGACATGGGGGGGATCTTTGACAAAAAAGACATGTTGTATACACTCTCATGACAGGAAACTGAAAGCAAATGTTTCTCAAACACGCTCAGTCCATGGAATTGATGCAACACAGACTTTCACCACTTCACAAGATAATTTGCACTTAGGAGTGGTTCAAAGTCATCAAAGTATGCTTTAGCTTGATAAGGATTTCTTAAAACCATAAAGCTGCAATATTAATTTCCTATCCAACCATGAAACACTTTGACAAAATCTTCCTTTGGTGCAAAATAGTCCACATGAAGAGACTAACAGCTTGCTAGGAAAATTAAGACCATTTCAAACTTTAATGAATAAATTGTAGGTGTTCTTTTTCATTGATCATTACAATGATTCACACATTTTCAAACCTTTCACCATACATACTGTTTTGATCAGTTCATGAAAAATATAATCACCTCTACAACAGATTAGCATGAAAAATGTACATCAATGACAAAAATTCAGGGATAGAAATGACAACTAGTCCATTAGTCCTACTAGTGAAAATCTGAGGGATGAGTTGTTTTATCCCTAAATCTTCTTGTTTTACATACACTAGTCCAAAATAAATGGCTGGGAATGACCAATGGTGACGACCCAGGCAATTCCATGCAAGCTATGTCATTTCCTTTACACATGTTTAAACAAAAGTGCGAAACACATTAAACCTTGAAAGCAAGTATTCAGTATGACATACAATTAGCATGGAACAATATTCCAGCAAAATGTTGTGTTAATCTATTTCTGTAAGCCTGGAGAGACATCAGCTTGCCAGCAAGGTTTAAGCTCAAGAAATGGCCCGATCGATGGTGCTTGTCCCTGCGAACCTCATTCACACAGCCTATCAGTAATGCTACCCGTGTCTTCCACAGGCACACCACCTATTGTTCAATCAAGACTATTCCACTCGCTAGCTTGCAACATGCAACCTGTACTCATTAATAGCAGATTTTGTCCTATTCCACAGAATAAAATATGGCAGAGCTAATACAATCTGCTACAAAGCATAACACCACTCTCTGTCTCCTATAGGATATCGATCTTATATTCCATGGTTAGGACAATTAACTTTGTCATTGGTGACCTGTCAACTCTTCCTCAAGGATGCATGCTCCACAGCGATTAGTCTTAGCATGATGTAGTGTGTATGTCATCTCTCACTGTCACAACACAAGGAGGATATAGCAATTTATAGCATGTGTACATCTACTAGGTGATTATGGACTGTTTACAGACAATAACATTCCAGAATTCACATCTCGGATCTGCTGACCTTTCATACAATGTCTTCTGAAGGCATTTACAATTTTTCTCAAGAATTTCAGCCACAATATAAAAAAATTTCCAAGTAGAAGACAATACGTGATCAACTGACCTTTATAACCGACTGAAATAATTAATTTCTCAGTGCAAAGTCTACACAAACAATTGAATAGTGAGACAATGGATTTCACACCAAATAAGGAATATAACTTCTGCATGCCTTCCTATGACTAACGAGTGTATATGGGTGATGGAAAACAGAAACATTAACAAACCGAGCTAGATCTGTTCTCACTTGACCAGCCTTTGCATACACACAAGGAATAATACATCAAAGGGCATCATATGTCCAATGTGTTAAAATCCAATCACCAGTTCATGTTAATCAAAAGATTAGTGACACGCGAAGCTTTGATGCCTCGTTACAATTGTTAATATTCCTTTATTCCGCCAGCAGGAGCATCATGTGACAAGTTAACACATGGTCAGTGGATAACGGACGTATCAACCTACACAAAGATCAGGACTATCAAGTTCTCATTACAGACTTGCTATCTCAAATTATACGATATCTCTAACAAAGATTCACATTCATAATGGCAGTCTTTATTGTGTTCTACCTTTTTTGGTTTTAATCCATTAATTCACTACGCAGTTTGTTCTTTGATATTCAAGCTTGTAAATACTACGAACTTTGCTTATTTTGAAAAGAGAACTTGATATCTGTCTCGCTATGCATATGGCTGGTTTAATAGAAGCATGACAGATTAAGGTCATCATCTGAATTTATTTCATCTGGTCAATAAACAGGATGAAATACCATCTCACTTCAAAGGGTTCCCACACAATTACTTATACATACATAAATTTCATCTCGCTTAGTTCCTCAGATGTTTCCAAATTATGCATACATTCATCTGCAAATATAATTTTAATGACTGGCAAAGAATTAATGGAAAAGCTGTAGGATACATTGGACATTTCTCTCATTGTATGTGTAATTCATTATAAATATTACAGACCCATGGGAATAATTTGTGCAACAGTCGAATAAACCAATTTAGGTCCGCATGTATGGTGTGAGAATGTAGAATCTTTGTGACACATCTGTACAGTGTCACATGTGTTACCGCTGCACATATACATGTTGCATTAACATTCTACTGTGACACCATCTTGTGAAAACATTCAAAAATACTTCCACTATAGAAAGTTCAGGAACAATTTGACAGGAAATGAATTTATGAATATAATAATATATTCATAAATTAAATGACAAAGCCACACCTGTCCTTTTTTTAAGCATTTCTAATTAGAATCCAGGCTGTAGAGGTCCACCATTCCTCATATGAGCAGACCAACATAATATCAAACAATACATCGGACTACTCATCAAGGATGCCAAGACTTAGTTATCATTAATAATGCTGTTATGACAGTGTCTGAAAACCACAGACAACAGGAAGGGGAAGTGGGGAGGATGTGGCCACCTAATTGTTCAATGAAACACTAAAGGTGCGTCACTGTAGTAGTATGTGTGTCACACTTGTGAACAAGGAGACACGGGTGTCAAGTGGGACTGTGGTATGGCACTGTGGTATATAGTGTCTCACTATGGTAAAACATGTGTCACTGTGATATATAGGGTCTCGCAATGGTATAACATGTGTCACTGTTTTGTTTGATGTTTAACGCCGCACACAGCTAAATCTGTAAATAATAGAGTCTGGACCAGACAAACCAGTGATCGACATCATGAGCATCAATCAATGCAATTGGGATACAATTACATGCATCATCCAAGTCAGCGAGACAGACATGTGTCACTGTGGTTTATAGTGCCACACCATGGTATAACATGTCACTGTTGTATTAGTGTCTCACTAAGGTTATAGCATGTGTGACTGTAGTATTATAACCTGTGTCACTGTGGCATAACCCATGTCTCAATGTTATATCATGTTACCATGGCACTGTGGTAAATAGTGTCTCACTATGGTATAGTCCAAAGAACAATGCGTGTTGTTTCAGTGTTACAACAGCAAATGTGTGTTGTGTTGAATCTGGAATAATACTAAATGTACGGAGCGTGTCAATGCCATGCATCATTTACAAAACATCCAATGTCTGTTCCTGTCAGTGATACATGCATGTTGCATGTCAATGGTGTTCCTGTCAGTGATACATGAATGTTGTATGTCAATGGTGTTCCTGTCTGTGATACATGCATGTTGCATGTCAATGGTGTTCCTGTCAGTGATACATGCATGTTGCATGTCAATGGTGTTCCTGTCAGTGATATATGCATGTTGCATGTCAATGGTGTTCCTGTCAGTGATATATGCATGTTGCATGTCAATGGTGTTCCTGTCAGTGATACATGCATGTTGCATGTCAATGGTGTTCCTGTCTGTGATACATGCATGTTTCACGTCAATGGTGTTCCTGTCAGTGATACATGAATGTTGCATGTCAATGGTGTTCCTGTCAGTGATACATGCATGTTGCATGTCAATGGTGTTCCTGTCAGTGATACATGCATGTCAATGGTTTTCCTGTCAGTGATATATGCATGTTGCATGTCAATGGTTTTCCTGTCAGTGATACATGCATGTTGCATGTCAATGGTGTAACACCAAATGTGTTTGCATCAGTGACAAACTACTGATATGTCAGTGGTGTAACACACAGACCCATTCAATCATGAAGTGTATAGAATATCAGTTATAAAAGATTATGACAAAGTTGATATCTTTTTCAATTTAACACACACTGACTGGCACCAACAAGAACAATGATTAAATTCACAGATACAAGGACAAATTGTAAAGTATTGTCGAGACCACCAGCTGATACACTGAAATACTATCCCTCCCTACAGCCCTTCAATATGCCAAGCCCGGGATATAAATGATGTATACAATATCTACCCCAGATGCTACAATGTTTTTAATTTCATATCTACCCAGCTGGTGTCCTGTGGTGAGATGGGAGTGTGCTATTACCTTTACCAATAACATCAAAGTGATCTGCCAAACCAATGACACAGTGAAATAATTTCACAAAATTTCAGCTTTTGTTATACTGTGAACAAATGTTGCTGCACAGAGGAATAAACATGGCCATATTTCAATTATTTAGCCATATGGATTATGATGAGGTTCAGCCATTCACATCACACTGTGTTTAACCATGATTCAATTGAAAATATCCCTTTGATGATGGTCCATTTTTTATTTACACGATCCCCACTGTGCAACATCTGGGTTTCCTATTTCAATTAAATGAAGATAAAACCACATTGTAATCGTCACGGTGATTAAACTATACTTCATTTATTTTTTACATCTGGTAAATCAAAGGGGCTGTTGTACTCTATGAAACCAGTTGCACAATAATTGCATGAAATGTTTGAACCAGAATATGATTTAGCAAATGGTTTGAATATTAACACCAAGGCATCAATCCCATAACAATGTTATTTGAGCATTGATAAACATTGCACTTAGATTAGAGGGTATTTTCAAACATAAGAAGGTAGGAGGATATCAAATGTTACAGTCAATACTGGGAATGTTTTCATATCTACAATTTTATCTGGTTCAGCACCACCAGTAGATCATTAGCCATAATGGATTAATCGCCTTTCATCTATGGGAAACATCAGCTGGTATGGAACATAAATGACACTATTTATAAAGCGAAGATATATATCTAGAATTAATTGAAAAATAGATCTATATTAATTGGTATAAAAAATTGACTATTCAAAACCTTTATTCTAAATTTATTGTAATTATTTCATTATTATCCACCATAGTAAAATACTTTTATAGTTATTAAACCTCACTTTCAAAGGAAGGAATTGTACTTGTCCATAGTACTATTGACTGTCCGTCCAAATAAAATACTTCACTAGGAGACTGAGACAGGCGACCTTTTCACATCGCTTGACTTTACCACTCTATTCACCCCTGAATAGTAAATGTAACAACCAAACACCAACTGTGACATAAAGACAGTACCTAGTCTGTGTGACAAGGGTTTCACCAGCAGAACCAGGTAATATGGGTGTGTATTGCACTGGCTAGAGAAAATGTATCACATTGTGAATCAAGCTTGCCTGTGTGATCTATGTGTGTGGTCTAAGTACATGTGTTGGGAGCCCTGATAGGAGGAGGTCAGAACAGTGAAAGATTACTACTCTAACATACTGGCAACACTCTGGCAATATCAAATATCATTGCATCCATTTACAAACAACCCTGGAGCAGTTATGTCGAGATAAATTCTAAGATGTTTCTTTTCACTGGCCTGAGTTAACCAGCATGTCAATAAACAAGAAAAAAACTACAGTAGTCTCATTGGTATTGCACAGGCCATTGAGCATGGGCAATGCCTGTGTTTTCTGCCAACCATAGAACAATAGGATGCTAGCTTTAGTCTACCCAATAAAGGCCTGTGTGACCTAGTAAGGTTGTGGCAACAGTCCCGACCCCTAGGATGCAGGCCTGACCTAGCCGAGGTTTATCTCGCCTACTCCCCGTTACATTGACTCATTAATCTTTATAAACTGCACGGGCTATATCAGACTATATACTGCATTTTTCCTTCCAGTAAATCCAACAAAGCACTTCGTGTATAGGAGTGAGGTCTAGGTGATTTGGCAATGCCCTCTCGATGGTAAATCGTGCTCTTTCTAACCCGATCATAGAAACAGACACACTTTCCCCCTGGAAAAGGGGATCGTATGACGTTATACCAAACCAAAGCGAGCTATCTCCCCGTACCACAACTAGCTGGCGCTACGGCCGAGAAATTTTATGGCTACTACCTCCGTTTCTGTGCTGCTTTACGACCCCCTCCTTCTCCTTTGACTAAACTGGAGGCCACCGGCACCTCTGAGTTTCACAGCAAATCGTTTTCGCAAGCCGCTCACCCCAGCTCAAAGCTAACATGGCTTCATCACAAAATGTTTTTCATATTCACCTTTCTACCAAACATCTAAGCAAATATGCACCAAAGATTATAACCCGTCGTTACAAAATGCATACCTTGGAAGAAAGCAAGACTTATCGGCCAAAACAGATCAAAGTGGGAAGCTAAGACCGACTCCGTGTGTCCGCCATTACACTCAATGCAAATGGCGTCGCCCTGTATTCAGACAAACGCCATACACACACGAGAGACTGTTATCCAAGAAGCATTAATAAAAGTAATGAAATAAACTAAATGTACTATTAACCTACTACAACATAATTACAAAGACATGCTCATCAGCATTGCTCGGAAGGGCGTGTATCGCACGTACGGACTATTTGTATCATTATACATTGAAATTAAATGCATTGATATCCTATAACATTAATATTACCACTATTAAATACAGTTAACATTAAACAATATATAGAAATAATATAAATAAATAACAGCCATCCTTTAAATCCAATTATGATACAATATATTTACTGCAGTCAGCCCGTTATGTGATAAAAGGAAAATATACACCTAAGTATAGAAGTGTAGAAATATAAACACTGTTCCATAATATGCAGTTAGCGGAACTGTTACAATAGTGTACTATAAAGAGTTGACCAAGTGCGCCGAACACAAACACTATTAGTAATAGCTATGCTCACGCTTAGAAACTCCCCGTTTCCAAAAATATATATACAACAAGCACATGTCACCCAACCGAGATTCATAATCAATAACAGCGCTTCGTTGCGGGAATAAACTCTAATATATAAACAAGGCATGTCCAAGATTGCGATGACATGTTATTAGTCTGGTGATAACTTACCATATATACATTGTAAACAATAGAGGAATATAGCACATGTAATTGAAGCAGGTGTATCTACGGTATCCAATAGAGTCCACCTGGGCAATCACGGCACACAATCAGTGTAGATACGAGCAACACTTATTAGCTGTGGATGAGGCGATGTACTCCAAAATCCAAATCACACATGAACTATAGAACCTCTTCGAAGGGGTAATCACAGCTAGAAAATCCAGTGAACGACTTTTGCGAATAGCAAGCTTTCCACATATATGATTCCGTGGCCCCGCTAGTCCGTACTCGACGCTACATGGAGCATTAGGACCTGCATATGGCGACCGACCTAAAGCTCACCGCATGGCTTACCTTATCCACTCACATTGTAGACAAAGGGGAACCCGGCCTCAAAACATCCATGGGAAGGAACAAAAACGCTGATAGAGATTTGAAAAGTTTGAATCTATAAGATCAAAGCCACATGCCCGCCGCCGACAATCCCCATACACCGTGACGTCACAGCCTTTAGAAGAACCGCACCAATCAGCGCGGAGATAAAATCAACATTGAGAAAAATGCCCTGGGCGAGTCCAAGTGGCGAAGGGATGTCAGATTGTGAATAATATATATATTACCACTCATATTAACCAAACCACACTCCATATAACTTACATATGATATAAATAACGTATTTGGTAATTATTAACAATATTTTATCTAGCATACTTATAGCAATGGATTTTGAAACAAATGCAGCACAACCTGTCTTCCCTTGAGACGTTGTTACAATTTGATAGCTTCCGATAGCAACACGGAGTTGGGAGAGTTTGGAGTCTTACAGATTCACCGTCAATGTTTTCGCTATTTTGGTCCCCCCAAACGTACTAAAGATATATTTTTCGCCATGCCACCCATACATATAGGTTTAAAGGATATAAAAAACTCAATTTCTTCAGCGTATACCGTGTTTCATGCAAGAAAAGAGGGTAATTCGTTCGGTATTGGAGATAATACCCTTGCCCTTATAAATTACACATGTTTGCCGAAAGGTCCCTTTGATGTACGGTCACTACATTAGACACAGCTGTAAATCAAGCCTGTGGTGACGCCGCCGAAACAGACCAGGCTGGCTAGAACGCCTTCAGCACTGGTGAACTGGTTGTCACAAACATATTGAGTCGTGTTGGGTATTTACTTCAGTGGGGTGACTCCTACTCGCTCAAGATAGGACACTTTTCGAAGACTTTTTACTTTTTGGGCACCTCAATGTATTAAATCTAACAATTTTCATCGCGGCCGATTTATCACGCTGGCAATATGCCACGAAATGTTTTACTCCGCGTCCCTTTCATCTGCTGGGGACAGATGTTTGTACTATCGGCGCAGCACAAAGACAAGGTCGAGTAATTAGTGTATACACAAAGGGATCGCAACATCAAAGGAAGCCGAGGTGTGGTCTATTGTTATGGTCGGAGCGCCGCTTGATGGCTGATTGGGGGAAAGGCACGAGTTGTGGGGTGTAAAGTGGGCGTGGTCCCGCGCGGTACTCCAAGCGGCTCGGCTATAACAAGTTGGGCTTTAATCTTTCAATACCTGTCATCTCGCTGTGCTTATTTTTTACACTTTCGGTTAATTAATTAACTAATTCATCAAAACCAACCCGCGGCGGCTTTGATGTAGTCGTTGGCTCATGTGTCTCACTCCGCTTCAGAGAATTACGAACTTCCTACCTAAGAGCGGTTATAGAATATGGACGATTAGATGGCTAGAAAAATAGACGGTGACAAATTGGCGAGGATTGTCAACACAGTCAATGGCGTAATGTTGTTAGAGTGTTTAATCTCGATTTATGCTACTTTAAATTTTACTTGATCCTACAAGTCTTTTGATCTTTCATTTGAAGCTCTTGATCAGTGTTCTTAATATCGGATTAAGCTTTATGTGTTTATTTGATGTTATAAGCATAAAATCAAGTTTGTTTGGTTTTATTCAAAAAATATGTTTGATATGAAAGATCAAAACAATCCTTCTTTTCGCGTATGAATAAAAACATAATAGGATTAACTCCTGCCTCTAAAAATGAAAAAAGGAACATAACCCCTACACTTTTTTTCGCCTGAAATAAACCGATACATGAACGGATTAAGCGTACTCGAGTCATGTGTAAGAGCACATACATCAAAGAAGGTTTCGTAACGTAGGTTCATTTTCCAGAAACCACTTCAAGCGTTCATAAAATGTCTACCTTTAACTTCCTGCTTAAGTGATGTATAGCACTCGGCATGCGGATTCAGGAAAGTCGTGAGGCGGCAAACATCAAAGGAATGACGCACCTGCCGGTAGCACCTGTCCAATCGCAGGAGGTTAATGTTACCATACGCGGATCGGGAAGTGCAGTGGCATGGGGCCAATCTTCCTATCACATCATTGTAAAATGCGGCATTGTTTACATATTTGAAGAGCCGGTATATAATTTACCTTAATTTATCTTAAATTACATTGAATTTCATTACGCCAATAAATCACCTGGCACTACCCCAATTATTAGCTTAGTATTCTGATAAGATCGGTTTCAGTTTTATTTTGAGTGTTTGTAATGAAAATTTCAATAAAAGCCTATGGCAATCATTATATGAACATCAAACTAAATATTCCCACTGAGATCAGAAAAGTGATAAAATAAGCGTTAATGAACAAACTAAGAACTTTTGAACTGTGGTTTATGAATATGAATACATACATTTACAGTTTCCATATTCTCTCTATAAATCAATTTATAGTAGCATCACTGGTAATGAATATGACTAGCATAACTATCAGTAGTTTCATCAAATACATTATGTCCATCCGTTATTTATCTGACGAATTAATAGTGTCAGTCCATAAATCAAATAAAGTAAAACGAGAATGACGTTTTAAAAGATTAGGAACAATAAATTTACCTGAGAGAGCACTGCTACAGGAAAACACTCCGTATCTCCAATGATCGCTGTGCGTTTATGACGAGAAAACATTAAAGTATCTAGAGTTACGTCCCCTTATCGTGATACCGGTGACTAAAAGGCGTTTCTTTGGTCGATCATAATGCATGGCCAATTAAGCATCAAAGGCCCCCCTCAAAGGCTGCTGTCGATCGGATTTCAAAGATTAAAGCAGTAATGTAACAAGCTCGTATAGATAAAATGGAATAAATTGCACGCCACCATATATAATATTTCGTTTTAAGTTATTCTTCAGATCTGAGACCCGAGTTTCAATTTGTTAGAAAGGGATAACTTCATTAATTAGGGTTGGGAAATAAGGGGATTTCATTTCAAACAAAATGATCACAAGATCGCCCCTGTGCAGGTACAGACAGCGACAGTAATTGTGAGGCATGAGCGATTAAAAGAGCAAAAGCATTTATTTCAAAGGGGACATAACGTTGCCTAATCTACGTTATGAAATTAAGGAACTTTTCTTCTTCAAATGACATGGGACTTTGTTTCTAGCGGGTTCTTTCATTTCTCCGTCTGATTTTATGTCGGAGATGAGATGGAAGCGTGCGCTTTGAGGAAGGAGACGGGCGTGTGGAAGTCTATTGTGGATAAGCTGTAATTTAGAATGAAGAGTACGCAATTTAAGCATCTGTAATGAAACACCAGGTCTACACATGAATATTTCAACGGACTTCCAGGAATTATAGTTCGAAATAAAAGTGTCATCAGGGTATTTATATAAATGGGCATCGACCATATGTTGTATTAAAACCTTTTTAAAACTGTTTATGGGCATGAGTTCAGTAACTGAAGTTAAATTGATTTGAATTAAAAGCTAGCAAGGACATCACGTCAACAGCCAGTTGTATATAGGCGAACATGGCCTCGCATCCCCATTTAAAAAAAATAGTTATTATATATAATCTATGTTGCTAAAAAAAATCTTTTGTTTGTGGATTTTTCTGCGGGTATATACATCACTTGGTAATACGGCTATACGTGTGCTGACATGGCAATTAAACCCTACATCTATTATCTGTGTTGGACCGTAAACGGAAGAAAACGTTGCATGGAGTTTTATAAAAGCAACATAAGAGCAGTTGTTTCGCCTGATATACTCGTTTTCTCCACATTATATACTTTACTTGATGGTGCTTCCCACGCGATGACTATACGCGGCAACCCGGATGTATCTTGGGCGCCAGGGGGTCATACATATACAAGGGAGTTGTGGCGTTTTGAGTTCGACTCCCTACATAAGTTCATTTCAAATGAACAATAAAAATGTGTAGACTGACATTTAGTCTCCAAAATAAAAATATTTTATTTGAACAAATATATGAAAAAAATCAAATCAAAATGGAGCCCAGAACAATCCCTACTGGAGCTGAGACTAGACTAGACTTGCTCAATTATTCTTGGACTCCTTTGTTAATGTATTCTCTAGGGTCTGGGATACAGAGTACTTGCTGTGCTAATCAGATATGTTCATTTATATTATCGGGGCGGTCGGGTAGCCTAGTGGGTAAGCAGGTAAGCTCGTCACGCCAAAGACCCGGGTTCGATTCCCGATATGGGTACAATGTGTGAAGCCCATTTCTGGTGTCCCCCGCCGTGATATTTCTGGAATATTGCTAAAAGCGGCGTAAAACCATACTCATTCATTTATATCATCATTTGAAACAAAGCAATCATTTTAACTTGTCAAGAGGCGCATATTGTCCTGAGGTTAGACATATTATTCTATCAGAATTTGCTTTTGAAAATGTATATAATTGTCCCCAAATTTGAGATATATTTTCTGGGTTGGGGTTTGGTGTTCTGAACGGATTATTTTATTTTCCTAAGTTGTTTTGGAACGCGGCCCCTAACCCTACGCTATAGCAGCATACCATTTTGAATATTTTTTTATTTGGTATGTTATGGTACCCAGACAGCCTGGAGCGTTGCTCATATTATCAACCAATTGTTTGTCTGGCACAGATTCGATTACTAAAAGACCGCCGATATGGGTTGAATATTGCTGACTACGGCATAAAGCAACACACAAAAAGGCAAAACTGGAAGCATCACTCGTATCGGGTTCTAGTTAAATACCGATCTACGTCCTTTCTGTCAATCATTGGTTTGTCTGAACCAGTGCTGACTATTGCCGTCTACGACCTACAGCAACACTCGTTCACTGTGAGAAATACGCCCCTAACTGATCATCCCAGTAATCCATAGCGTGATTCTGTTCCCCAAAGGAGAAATATTGTTATAACAATTTATTTACAGCTAAATACGTCGTTCATTTAGAAACAAAGAAACGTTGTCAGGTCTTTAACACCTGGGGATTTAGGTACCTGCAGGTGTCTGCGTAGATGCCCTGCTTCACACCTA